GTTGTCGGTTTGAATGCAATAAATACTTAAAGCGAGAAATTTTTTCGAATTATGTTTTTATTACACTCTGACGTTAATTTGAACCTAAATGGGTTTGTGTAAGAGCTGAGAAAAGTTTATTTTCTGTAAGATGCCAAAATCTAATAGTATAACCAAATAGTTTCAAGCAATGTCATGTTGCACGTAAAATTCTATACAGAATAAAATATGTGTATGTAACTATATTTCTTTGCTTTAAGTTCTTTGTACTAAGAAAGGTATGAAATTATGAAAGTAGTATTTTTTTTTAATTTGAAAAACGAAAAAAGAAACTTTCGTATTTTTTTATAGAAAAAGGGTGACAAACGAGCACACAGTCCACCTGATGATAAGTGGTTGCTGTGGCCCATAAACATCTACATCTATCTTCGTTTGTGAACTAAAATGCAGATGCGTTGTCAGCCGTGAAGACTAAGAAAGAATGCCTCTTTTCCAGTAAAATGGGTTTCCGGTTCTCTACACTCACCATACGAAACACAACAGCCTTAAGCTGCTATTTTACGCTGGTATTCTGTGAGAGAGTGGTCCTACCCTGGTCGAGCCGACCCATTCGTGCTACAACTATACTATTAATATAGCTGCAGCATGGCTCTACCACGTAAAAAACAACAAGAAGATAATAAAACAGCTCAGATTAAAAAGAAATTTATAATTAAAAACATTAAAACTATGAAGAACTTAACCTGAATTCCATCTTCAAATACAGTAACACCAATAGCATGCATTTTAGTTTGATGCAACACTGACCTTCAGCGCAACAAACTAAATAGAAATTATAGTCATCGCTGCGGTTTATACACAGATTAGCTGCTGTATGCTAACAAGGATCTCACCTTATGTCTGGTTTAAGATTAATAACGATATCCCATACAATGCCACCGCATTTGTGAAAATTATACAGAGTATTAGAGCCGTAAAAATGGTACAAAACAATAATATTTATATAAAAACATATCTGTTTTATTACTTGCTCTATGGAATTGTATACACACGACCTTGGCCTGTGGAATATATACCGTTGAGTTAAATGAGAATATTGTTCGTAGTATAGAAAACGTCTCGACCTCGTGCTGTTGAGAAGAAAACGAATATGTAAATGAAATAGCAAAGATTTAAAAAGGATGCAAGTCGATATAACAAACTGTCGTCTAGGGGCCACTTAAGAAATAGAAAACCCAACATCCCCTCTAGTCGCGGGTGTCTTAAGAGTCGATTATGGAATTGTTTGAAAGTTCTTAAGCCCACCAATAGGTGGCGGTATGACCATTTCTTAACGATAGAGTAAAAACAATAGCTAAGGGGGCATCGTCAATGATGCTGACGTCTGATGCTGCAATCACCAATCCCATGAATTGTAGCACGAATGGATCGGCTCAACCGGGGAGAGATCACAGGAAAACAGCGTAAAATAGCAGCTTAACGCTGCTGTGTTTCGTATAGTGAGTGTAGAGAACCGGAGACCCATTTTACTGGAACAGAGGCATTCCATCTTAGTCCTCACGGGTGACGACGCATCTGCATTTTGATTCTTAATTGAGGATAAATGTAGATGTATATGGGCCACAGCAACCAATTACCATCAGGTGGACTGTGTGCTCGTTTGTCGTCTTATCCTGTAAAAAGAATACTAAATCGTTATATCTCCATTTCGGAGCAAGCTATAATCTATATAAATAAAAATCAATCGCCGCACGTATAAAAGATCGTCACTTCATAACTGGACCGATTTTGATGATTTTTTTCTTGTGTGTGTTTTAGTGATCCCTGGATGGTTTGGATTCACAATTACACTGTTGTCGAGATCCAGATATCACCCGTGCGAAGCCGGGGCGAATCGCTAATCATACATAAAAAATACGCGTCGAATATAGAACCTAATACTTTTTTGAAGTCTGTTTAAAATACGAATAAAAAATACTGTTTCTTTCAAGCCTGTACTTTTTACTTTGAAATTAGATATACTTTTTTTTTTAATTTTTAAGAAAGTTCGCTAATGGCTACATTAGATTTCGCAATGCGTGCGTTCCGGATGCTCTTAGCCAGTTAGCGAGCTACACTGTTTGACATCTAAACAGTTTTATATAGTACTGGCTGTTCCCCGCGATTTCGCCCGCGTGTAAATTAGGGTTTTAATTATATTGCACCTTAGAACATCAGCTATATGCCAGTGAAAGTCCCTTCGAAATCGGTCCAGCCGTTTCGGAGATTAGCCGGAACAAACAGACAGACAGACAGACAGAACAACCGACAGACAGACAGACAGACCAACAGACAGACAGACGGACAAAATTTTTAAAAATTGTATTTTTGTTATAAGTACCGTATATACATTCATATGCATATAGTAAAAAGCTGTTATTTCGACATTACAAACAGACACTTCAATTTTATTTATTTGTATAGATAAAGAACCATACAGAACGCATACGTCACTTGCACTTATTGTGTGTGCTCCAGATATATTTTTTCCTATGCGGCTGTAGATTTAATTAAATGTAGTTACTCGTATAAATATTAAAGTGCATTTATATTAAAAATTCTTTTGCTTCAGTATCGGACAATATTAATATGGAACACGCGTATGTGTTCCGCCTTGAAATTGTTTCGTTCTGAATTCTTGGAACATTTATGTAAAGTTACACGTTGTATCGAGTTTTATTGAATTTATGTAAATTAAATTCTAAAAGTACTTTATACATATTTACGTGGTAGAGCCATGCTGCAGCTATATTATGGTTTTATCACGAATGGGTCGACTTTGTCGGAGAAACACCGCGTTCTCACATAATACCAGCGTGTGGTGAGTTTAGAGAAACGTAGACCCTCTTATAAGTCTATCCACAGCAACCACTAACCATCAGGTCGACTGTGTGCTCGTTTGGCACCCTTAATCCATAAAAATTATCTTATTATTTTTTTATCTATTATAGATTGGCTTGTTTAGACCCGTTGCGTTTCCGTGCCAAATTTAGAATAAACGTAATACTAAAGCAACAATATCAGCGTTTGTCTGTCTATCTGTTAAGTCAGTCGCAGTGAATTTAACCTAAGTGGAACACTCACGAAGATAATTGAAACTTTGTACTATTATACTTATGCAGTTATCACAATAGAGATGCAGGTTAAAATATTGAATTTTGGCTTGAAGAATTGAAAGTTGGATTTAATTTTATTAAATATAGGATACCAAGCAGACGGTAGCACCCAGCCATCTTCTCTATTGAAATTGGGATGTTTTTTTATTTATTTCAATAGCCTCGCGTATCATCCTTGGTAGGAATCGGTGTTCTTTTGCGAGGATTTGTGGTCTATCAAATTTAATGTAATGGCGGAGACGATCTTGAACATGTTCACACACTGCAGACTTCCCGGAACGTTGGTGCTTCAAGTCAGCTATATATTCTTTAGTATATATTTTATATATATAGTATTTTATTTAATGTTTAGTATATACTTAAGTAAAGATATTTCACGTCGTTATCATGGTAGTATGTAAGGTCTCATTATTAACTAAAAAGATCATTATATTATGTACTTGGCAATGAATAAAATTTAATTGAAAAAATTTAATTTAATTGAATTTAGCTGCAGGTATCCATGGACACTTCCCATCAGCTGGACCGTAAGTTAGTTTGCCACCTTATAATAAATACTCTTTGAGTGAGAGCCTTTAGAAGTTCCAAAGGAAGAAATTAGATGTCAATAATTTAAAATTATTTTTTTTTTAAAACCGACTTCAATATAAATTATTAAGAATAACTTAAAAACCATTGGTCAAACCTTGATCAAATTAGCATATAGCAATATAGCATTACATGAGAAGCACCAGCTTTCAAATAAAAAAAGAATCATCGAAATCGGTTCACCCAGTAAAAAGTTATGAGGTAACACACATAAAAAACATACAGTCGAATTGAGCACCTCCTTCTATTTGAAGTCGGTAGAAAAGACAGTTAACAATGAGTTGCAACAAGCCATAAAAACGTCATGATGATGATGATGTGAATACACGAGATAATTTAACAATGATGTAAACAATATTTGTATTGCATTGTTCACGTATTAGCAAAATAAAATTTAAATGGATATTCAGCTTTTGATGAGCGTGACACACAGGCAGACAAAAAGAACTCTGATTTATGTTAATAAGCGTTCATTGGAGCTAATTCAATAACACTGAATACGTCAAAACAGATATCATTGCGTACTATTTCGGAAATAAGAGTGATAGTAATGGGCCTACGGAATCTGTGAATTATGAATTGAAGACGTTAATCTGTACGGTCAATCTGTAAGGTCTCTTTGCCGTCGGATTATGGACGTTATCTTTGATTACTATAGTTTTACATATTTGCCGTGGTAGAGCAAAGCCTATTGTGGTTGTAAGACGACGGCTCGGCTCGACCAGGGAAAGACCACGCTCTCACAGAATGCCAGCGTAAAACAGCAGCTTAAAAACTGCCATATTCTAAAAGAAAGATATTTATGAGTTGCAGCAGTCATTTGTCATCACCATCGGATCAAATGTTAACTGTTTGTCACTCGAATATTTCAAGAAATTCCACACAGTTTAAAACTATTGATTGACTTTTGTGCGGACGCGGACTATATATACGTGGTAGAGCCATGATACATCTATATTAATAATATAGTTGTAGCACGAATGGGTCGGCTCGACCGGGGGAGGACCACGCTCTCACAGAATACCAGCGTAAAATAGCAGCTAATGCTGCTGTGTTTCGTTTGATGAGTGTAGAGAACCGGAGACCCTTTTTAATGGAAAAGAGGCATTCTATCTTAGTCCTCACGGCTGACAACGCAACTGCATTTTGATTTGCAAACGAGGATAAATGTAGATATCTATGGGCCACAGCAACCACTTACCATCAGGTGGACTGTGTGCTCGTTTGTCACCCGATCATATAAAAAAAGAAACTAAAAATAACCTCTTTTGTTCACAGGTATACATTACAGAAATCGCCGTGCCAGAAATCAGAGGATGTCTCAGCTCTGTCTCCAAGATCTTAAGTCAAATCGGGATCCTCATCTCCTATTCTCTAGGAGCATATCTGAATTGGCAACAACTCGCGCTGGTTGTTGCAGCGGCGCCGGTACTGCTCTTTCTGGCTTTACTCTTTATTCCCGAGACTCCTTCCTCTCTCTTCCTGCGCGGTAAAGAAGAAGACGCAGCAGACTCTCTCCAGTGGCTCCGGGGACCAGACACTGATATTCGGCAGGAGTTAGCGACTATAAGAACTAACATATTAGCCAGTAAGCAATTTAACAATGGCAGAGCAGGCAAATTGAAAGTTTTACTATCAAAGAGATTAACCAGACCTGTGCTCATAACTTGCGGCCTGATGTTCTTCCAAAGGTTTACCGGTGCTCATGTCTTTAGTTTCTACGCCGTTCCTATGTTCAAGAAGACGTTCAGAATGATGAATCCCCACGGAGGAGCGATCGCCACCAGTGCTGTCCAGCTTTTAGCGTCATGTCTATCGGGAATGCTTATAGATAACGTCGGTAGACTCCCCCTGTTGATGATCAGTGGTGTTATGATGTCTATTGCATTGGCTGGTTACGGTTCCTACGCATATTATATGGCGATTTTCATGAACTCCACGGATTTAACGCAAACCGAACCCGCCGCGTATGACTGGATACCGCTGATCTGTGTTTTAACGTTTACCATCGCGTTTTCGTTAGGAATCAGTCCAATATCTTCACTCCTGATAGGGGAACTCTTTCCTCTAGAGTATAGAAGTACTGGTAGCGCGTTAGCGACAAGTTTTAGCCATCTATGTGGGTTTGTTAACGTGAAAACGGCAGCTGATATCCAGGACCATATAGGCTTGTATGGTTTATTCTGGTTATACGCTGGTATATCTGTACTTTGCTTGCTCTTCGTGGTGCTTTTCGTACCAGAGACTAAAGGGCGGGAGATCGATGAAATGGACCCCAAATATGTCGAATCTTTGTGCATAAATCGATAGTCAATCGAAGCAGCCATCACTTGGAGTGATGCATGCCAGAATAGACTGATTTACTCGTGCAATAAGAACGAGATTGGCGTGTGTTGTCTGATACATGGCGCTGACTGTAAGGTCAGCAATGTTTTTATACAGTATTATTTGTTATTCGTTTGTAGATAACTAGGTGCTTCCTTCGAGATTTTCAGTGCCTTAAAAATAAAAATGTTCCTCTTATTGTATTACAAAATTAAACTTACGTTTACAAAGAAAACTAAATTTAAGGGCAGCTAAACTGAGATTTGAAAAAAGAATCAGTCGTTTTATAAACTGTTTTTAAAGATAAACAAATTTTTAAAGAATTTTTTAACATATTTGTTGACGATTTAATAAATACATATACAGAGGATGTTATTGGATTTCTGACGAAGCTATAAATATTTATTTATTGTAAATATAGTTTAGCTAACAGAGCAACACTTGTTTTATAACACTTGAGTATTAGCAGAGTGGACGAGAGTGCGTTATATTCACACAAGCGTCTCGCAACGCCACAAGCGTGGAGTTCACCTACAGTAGCACACAGAGAAAATAGCGCGAGATTAGGCACTGCCAACACGTGTATTATTTTTTTTTCTCTGTTTCTACTGTAGGTGTACCCCGCGCATGTGTGCATGCTTTGCGAGAGGTTTGTATGAAAATTTCATACTCTCATTAACTCGTATGGATGTACAGAGGCTATGAAGAGTAAATAAAATATAAATAAATAAGAAATGGGTATCGATATCCGTCTGTAAAACTATGAAATGGAATGAAATTCTTCAAAATAAAAAAATAAAAAATAACTTTAGTCAAACACGTGCTGCTGTTTCATATTATGATGTGTTGCGAACTAGAGTAGCATGTATCATTCATTCATGCCAGTGATCTTTCTAGTATTGATTCGTTTTACGTACCGGATCATTCGGGTCGCTCATTCAAATGGATCATTTCAAGTTTCAGTACTCTGTGATGTGTGAGACCCGCTCGATAATGTCGGTCGTCGGACATTATTCTTTGGCTGTAAATCCTGTCAATTATTTTTATTTTCTCGATTGACACATGCCTAGTAACGAGGCTTTTTGCCCTTACGTGTGCCACCGCCACTGCATTTTGATTATTTTTCGATAATAGATGTATTTGCTCGATAAATTATATTAATTACTTTTTAAATAATCAGTCTGTGACCATGCTTACTGGTAGACTAGAGTAGTTTTGTCTCATGTAAATATGGCCACCAAGATTCGTCATTGCTATGAACTGAGTGTATTTAATAAATAAATCAATTTTATCATCACAATTATATTAATAAACAAGGTGCTAATTTACAAATTGAAATGTTTGTAGAATAATATATTAATACATTTTAATCTATTAATAAAAAAAATAATAACATTTTACGTGATACAAAATACATAATATGATCATGTTTCGTACAGATTGTACGGATTTAGATATATTTACTATCTTTATATTTATGTATATACATAAAACTGTTTCAAAGTGTTGACTCCGTCTTTTTATATTTCTCTTTTACAAATTTGGCAAAAAAGAACAATATATTTTATTAAAATTACGGTCCGTTTTACGTAAGAAGTGCCTATTTTCGCTTTTGCGAAAGTTGACATCTACTGTCAAATACAAAATTGTTTTTTTTTTGGTTATGAACACGTAAGATTAGGTATACTTTTAACTTAAATTAATAACATACATATTATGTTTGCAACTTTTGAACATAAATCATTATATTTCCCGCGGAACTAATTATCATGAAACGGACTATACAAGTAATTATGGATACAGATAATTATGGTGCAAAGAAAAAAGAAAAGTGGTGCTAATGAGGTGCCTTCGATTTAGAGAATTCTATATTATATTATTTTATAAATGTATACCTAGTGAATATTGTAAATAAGATATATTATAAGTGTGTACATAGTTTTATATATATTTATGTAGTGAGAGTCCCTACAAAAATGTTGCCATAAGTTACGTCGGCGTCTGTACGTCACTGTATTGATAAAATGTATTTTTCCTGTACTTAAAAAAGGTGATTTTAAGTGTCTAAATAAAAATTTTAAACCACATATTTTTTATTAAAATCCGCCTTAATCCCTCTACAAACTTCTTGATTTTTTGTTAACAGTGAGTAATATAATAGATACCATTATAAATAAGTAAAGATTGTAAATGTGATTTCAGTTAGGCCAACGCCACATACTTCATCAGCTTCAATGCGTGGTAGAGCCGCGCTGCAGCAATATTATAGTTGTAGCACGAATGGGTCGCCTCAACCGGGAAAGGACCACGCTTTTGCAGAATACGAGCGTAAAATTTCACATTCATAGAGAACCGGAGGCCCGTTTTACTGGAACCGAGGCGTACCATCTTAGTCCATCCATTTCGATTCTTTATTAAGAATAAATGTTGATGTCATTGGGCGACAACATACACTTACCATCAGGTGGATTATGTGCTTGTTTGTCACACTTATTGTAAAAAAAAAAACTTCACGCGGCGGCCTTTCATGTACAAATGGAAGAATTTTAGTTTATGTGTTTTTTTTTTATATAGGATAACGGTGACAAACGAGCACACTGTCCACCTGATGGTAAGTGGTTGCTGCGGCCCATAAACATCTACATCTATCCTCTATTACAAATCAAAATGCAGATCCGTTGTCACCCGTGAGGACTAAGATGGAATGCCTCATTTCCAGTAAAAAGGGCCTACGGTTCTCTACACTCACCATACGAAACACAGCAGCATTAAGCTGCTATTTTACGCTGGTATTCTGTGATAGCGTGATCCTTCCCCGGTCGAGCCGACCCATTCGTGTTACAACTATACTACTAATATAGCTGCAACATGGCTCTACCACGTAAAAAATGTTGTAATTTGCTTTGAATGTTTATATAGATAGATAGATAGATAGATAACTCTTTATTGCATTTATACAAAGTGTTACAATTACGGAATAACTTAAGAACTACATACGGTGGTCATATCGCTTTAAGCGATTTCTACCTGACAAACCGAACGTAATAGGGAACAATGTAATATATTTTGACGGATAGGTGCAACGTGCAATATAAAATGAAACTGAGGACAAAAACTTATAATTAAACACGATTTATATAAATATATGAATTATATAATATATAATATTATAAAATTAATAAACATAAATAAATAAATATATACATATATACATACATATAGATAAATATATACATATATATATATACACACATACATATATATATATATATATATATATATATATATATATATATATATATATATATATATATATATATGCAGAGAAAATTAAGCAAAAAGAAAAAAAAACAAATATTTATAAAAAGAGGAAATGCATATAATTTATAATTATGACGGGAAATTCAAATAATACTCCTTCAGTTTTTTTTTAAAAATCTGTAAAGATTGCGCTTGCTGGATGTTATATACTAGTTGGTAAGAATTCTATTCTGTCTAAAAGTCCGTCTATGTGTGTACCACACTCTTCCCAATTTCTACCACCAAGCAGTAGTGCGTACACTGTTTTGTTCCGGTGTGAAAGTATAGAGAGACTCCTCAGAGGTGACAACACATCTTTAACCATCCTCGTCCGAAATTAGTTGCAGTTGTCCATGGACTGTTAGTTGCCACTTACCATCAGGCGAATACCAATTACCATGAGGTGTGTCTGTTTGTCAATTCAATTTTATTAAAAAAATATAGTACATCTGTACAGAAAATGACGCCTTGATTTCTAAATTAGGAAAAGGTGCGATTTTGCGGATTTTTGTTTCATAAAAATGTAATAATAATTGTACACGCCCCTAGCTGCCCCGACAAAGGTCGACCATACAGGGGCCCATACAGCTGTAGATTCGACGGATAACTAAGGGTGGGGCTCAAAATGCCTGATGGACAATTATTATTCTACACAATAGATATAAGGCTAGGTAATTAATAAGAACGTACCTGGTTCCGAAGCTAAGACTAACCCCAAGGCTCGGTCAGGCGGTAGATAGGATCACCGTGTACCAGTCAGGTGATAAGTGAGGTGCATGTAAGTAGTATGTAGTAGTGTTTATATATGTGACCTGACGGCCCGATTTAATCGGACAGAAAATCCACCGGAGCTGATGTTCTCCCAATGCGCGCTCCCTTCAGTCGTGGATCACCCATGAAAAATTTCTGCCTTCATTTCACTGTTTCAGTTTATCAACTTTATTGTATACTTAATTAACTTCAAACTCAACTAAATTCAACGTTCATCAAAATCAAACACGTGACACCTGACACAAGTAACGAACAGTCGTTCAAAGTTCAATATTCAATGTTTGAGGTTCATTTAGCACCAAATTACAAACAGGGAACGAACGCGATCTCTTCTCGTGTCACAAAGTTCAGCGTTCCAAATAACGAACTAAATTCCTTCGTACGATATTACATACCACGCCCGCAATCAGAACTCAAAATTCGCCTCGTTGACACGTGAAACTAACTAGATAATCAACACAAAAAAGGCACTTATGTCTGTCTGTCTGTCTGTCAAGACCCTTTTTCTCAGGAACGCGTGGAGGTATCAAGCTGAAATTCATATCAAATACTCAAGGCTACTTTCGCAAACTTCTAAGCTAACGCAATCAAAAGATACAGCCGTTTATGCCGCAAATTTTCGACATTCGCAAGGGAATTAGGGAATCAAAACCTACAGGGTACTTCCCAGGAACTCAGAATCTTAAAATTTGGTACGAAGCAATGTATTGTAGCACAGATAAAGGAAAAATTGCGAAAAGCATAAATTTTTAGTTACATCATATAATAAAAATATTTTTAATAATTTTTGAAATTACGGATTTGTGCGGACTGCGGAACCCTCGGAGCGCGAGTCCGACTCGCAATTGGCCGGTTTTTTATTGTAATAATAACTTTTATCTGATGATTTTTTAACGAACTTGTACAAGTCTAAG